CTTAGAATATTGGAACATCCTGAGGTTAAGTCCTCAGCCCTCTTCTGTTTAGTCAGATTTTTGTTGTTGTTGTTGCTGTGACCAAAAGGAGGAAAAGTTTATAAGTTTATTTGGGACTCACAGTTTCAGAGGTCTCAGTCCACTGATGCCTAACTTTATTCCTCTGAGCCCGAGGTGAGGCAGAACATCATGGTGGAATATTATTGAGGAGGAAAGCAGCTCAGGACATGGCAATCAGAAAGGAGAAAGACAGCTTTGCTCACCAGGGACAAAAATATAAACCCCAAAGACGTACTGTCTGTGGCCTACCTTCTTCAGCCACATCATATTTGCCTATATCCCCATCTAGATAATCCATTCAGATGGGATAATGAACTGATTAGATTAAGGCTTTCATATCTAAACCATAACATCTTCTCTGTCTACTCTTTCTCTTAAGATAACTTCCCTTGTATCTGTCTTGCTAACATTTCCACTTGTATATGATAAGATCTTGAATTTAATGTATCTTTTAAGAAAAGAACTCCTGAAACTGCCTGATTTGCATTTGACATTCAGTAATGAATGGTGACTTAACTAATGAGTGACTGCTACTTTTATCTATTTTTATTTAAGTCTGGAAACTTAAATAAAAATCTTCCTTTTCCCTAGACATCTCAGGTTTGGACTGTGGATTCTGACAGTGCCCAATTTGTTTCTTGACAAAAGCTTTATGGTGGAAGTTATCTTTGTGGAATTTGCGTTGCTAAGTAGATTCTCCACTAGAGGGTGCACAGGTATCATTTATGTTTCAAAAACAGTCCTAGTAAGGAAAAAAAAAAATTCAGTAATAAAACAAATTTGCTCTTGGAGGTATCTTTTCTCTGATTTTTTATTTATTTTGTTTGGAGGAAAATTTTGAAAGGTTACACTTATGAATGAAAATTTTCTAAGTGGAAGGAAATAAAGAAAAACGTACATTTTAATTTTAGTCAGTTTAAGGGACAATACAAATGAAAGCAGCATGATTACACGTGTTTTCTAAATTAAAACAAAACTCATAATGTAGGTTGAGGCATTATTTTAAAACATGAATGAAAGAGGCACTATCCACCCTTACCACGTAGTACAGTGCCTATTAATATGTATCTGGTACATTTTTATTAAATGACTGAAAGAACAGATAGTATAGTTTCTCATTATGTATATGGAAATATTCCAGAATCTGGAAAAATCTGAAATTGAAATAGGAAACACTTTTGGTCCCAAGTATTTTGGATAAAAAATACTCAATCTGTACAATATGTATCTAAGAATTTGTGTGTGTGTGTGTGTGTGTGTGCATGTGTATGTGTTACTGAGCATCTAGCCTAGGGCCTCACATAAGCTGGACCAGTAAGCTACATCCCATGCTCTTTTGCTTTCTATTTTGAGACAGGGTCTCTCTAAGTCGGCTTCAAACTTGCAATCCTCCTGCCTCAGCCTACCAAGTAGGTGGAATTATAAGTATAGACTATTGCAGCATTGTAGTTTTTCTAGTCTTTTGTCATCCTAATGAGCAGTCAGAGGACACCCAGATGATTAGTGGAGTAAGGGAATGGAATATATAAATGAGGGACTGAAAACATTTGGAGAAGTGAAAGAATAGCCCTCTAGAAAGTCAGCTGCACTGGGTATGTGAAGTTATTTGAACCCCAGCAAATAGGAAGGACATCCACATGCCTGACTGACTAGAGAGTTGCCAATGAACCCTGTGGTATAGGAACCTTTATTTTACTTAAGCTCCTTAAGCAAATCTAGATTGTCAGAGCATGCTGGTTTATGGGCAAATCTACTATCCTAAGCTTACATCCCATGCATGGGCATGTGTGGGTTTGCATAGATATGATTAAGCATATGCATTTAGATGAGCTATATGAATACCTAGAGGGAAGAAGGGCTTATGAAAAGATGATAATTCATGTTGTAGGACTGTGCTTCTCTTTTGCACTCCCCTAGAGCAGTTTTGAGAGCAGAAGATTGCCAGTTGGAAACATTAGAAAGCTATATTCTCAGGTGCCCTCACTGACAATTTTATTAGAATGCTGTTATAGGCAACAAGAATCTAGATGAGGTTAGATACTTTTTAAAGCAGTAGTTTTTTAATGAAAGAAAGAAAATGGATAAAAACTAAAGTCATGATTTGATTTAGATGCCAACACACTTCATTTATTACCTCTAGCATAACTGGAAGAGCAGGGAGGCAGGGGAAGGAGTGGAGGGAGCAACACCCTGATAAGGATTTTAAAACACCAGGAAACACGGGCAAAGGGATCAGCAAATTTAGATGTATGTTTTGATACTTTATGAATATCTTGTGAAGCTCTATCTTTAGTTTTCCTTTGTGTGAAAAGCATAGAAAGGTATACATGAGATTTTAGGATTCTTATAAGGACCCAATTGTTTGTTAGTGAAGGCTAGAACGAAACAAAGAATTCCAAATTGTTCTGTCAGGATTTCAGAATAATACAATGATAGATGAAATCTAAAGTCAACATAAGCAAGTTAATGCTGTAGAAGCCAAGATTTTCAATAACTATGTTTATGCATTGTGACAGCTTATAAATTAAAAACCTAGCAACTCTTAAGAAATACACTAGGCTATCCTAGGGATAATGAAATAGAGGTGAGTATTCTGTAAAAGGGGAGTTTGGATCCAGTGCTATATTGACAATGAAAGAGAAAGTAATTTTGAAAATAGTATTTCATGATGATTTGGTGTGTTTATATGTCACACAGTTTAAAGGTTGTTATGGTCTTTTGTTATAGCAGCCTGAATGGACTAAATCAAAACAAAAGCAAGAACTGAAAGCTGCTAAGAAATTGAAGTGGGTAAGCACTGATAAGAGTGTAGATAGAAAGTTATATTGACTATAGATTGGAGTAAAAATAAAATTATTAATTTTCAAAATCATTGTATAATTAATTAATGTGGAACATTATTTCAAACAGCCAAGATAGAATGTATATGCTGAACTGATTAGAGTACTCAAGAGAAAAAAAAATGAGAAAAGTCAAAGTGAGTTAAAATGAGTTTAAAAAGTTAGAATGAGAAAAGTCAAAAGAACTTTGGGAAATGTATCACTTTTAAGAGGCCTGAAGACACCTCTAAACCTCAGAAGCAAAAGTTGAGACATTTCAATGTAGTCACATTTGGTCTTGGAGAAATTTTAACTTCTCCCTGCCTCTATTTCCTCTTCTGTATAGAATGGTGAACAATGATGTCCTCCATATACAGATTATTTTTCTCCTGCTTGAGATTAAATACACAAGTAAGGTTGAATACTTTATGAATATCTTTAGATTTCATCTATCATTGTATTATTCTGAAATCCTGATGGAACAATTTGGAATTCTTTCTGTTTTCCTCTAGCCTTCACTAACAAACAACTGGGTCCTTATAAAAATCCTAAAATCTCATGTATACTTTTCCATGCTTTTCACACAAAGGAAAACTAAAGACAGCTTTTTAAAGTATTTCCTTAAATATTAAATCATATTGCTTTGTGACCTGGACATTAACTTCCACTTTTCCTCTGACTCAATGGATCATTTTGCTTATTTCAGGCGAGGGAGAGCCTTTTAATTAATGAGAGTAGTAAAGGAGCTGTGAATATTGGATTCTTAATTTTTTTCAGCGTATACAGGGACGAATATAGACATAATAATGACATAAGCCTGGTGTGAAACATAATTGTCACTTCCAGTTGATTGCAATAACAACTGTTTCTTTATCTGCAAAAATAGGGCTACTCCCCACCTTGACAAATGAGAGTATTATTCGGTACTCAAATCAACACATTTTGAGGTGTTTGTTCCTTTTCTTCTTATATATAATCCACTAGAGCCTAACTAGAAAATAAAAGACAGATTTGATTATTTTTGGAGTCTTAAATTAAAGAAATCACGGCTATCTTCCAATAAAACCTTTAAACAAAATGGAACGAAGCAAGTCTCACAAATAATAAAAATCAGACACTCTGACAGGGTTTGAATACCAAAGTGGATTTTAGGCAATAGGTATTAAAACAACTTACATCTCCAGGATTCTTCTGCAGAACATTATAACTGGTCATTTCTTCGCTTGTGTACACGATTTCTAGATTGTCATAGGAAAATTAACCCTCATTTCAAACTATTAGGCTTTGTAGTCTGAATAACGAGGCAACAGGCACTCATCAACCGGCGGGCTGTATTTTCAGGGCTGAGCCTGGAAGGTTAGACAGAGAGGGTATAACCCCCGCGGAGGCTCATGTTCAGAACCCTCAACTCCTTTTGATGCTAGGGCCTCAAAGCATCCCTCCCTCTCCTTTATTTAATTAATTAATTTATTTATTCATTTATTTCTCTTTCTTCCTCTTCTGAGCTCCTACTTCCACCCCATTTGGCTGCTTCTCTTTTTCCATCTTCGTTTTCTCCCATAAGTGGTCAAAATGGGAAACAGAAGTATCTTTTCGTTGCTTGGTATAGTGATGGAAAAGGTTTTTTAACTAAGGGGGAAAAATATTTCCCAACACGGTTCTTTACTTCACAATGAGTCTGAACGTCTACTGACACCCTCCTGAGTGCTAAATAAATAAATAAGTAAATAAATAAATAAATCCCCCACCAAAATTGTCCTTTGCCACTGTGAAGAGGTTGGGGTCTTGTGGAGCGGGTAAGAGTCCGCAGCCGGAAGGCGAGATCCCGGAGCTAACGCGCTCCGGATCCCGGGAGGCGCGTGCAGGACCTCCCCACCGTCCGCCTGCACAGTGGGGAGGCGCGGGAGCTGCTGCAGTCCAGCCCGGGAGCGGGGGCCCGTCCCGGAGTGCGAGGGGCGCAGGAGGAGGTGGAGACGTCGGCAGCGGCGGCGGGGGCGGGGGGGACGCGGCGCGGTTGCCGCAGGGGAGAGGCGGCGGGCGCGAGGGGCGGGGCGCACTCCTCAACTTATACACAGACGCTCCGCACTCCTCGCCAGAGCTGAGTTGGGCGGACTGCGCGCAACACAGTAGAGCCCGGCCCGCGAGCCCACGCGTTCCCGGGTCCGTCGGGTGCCGCGGCGCCTCCCGAAGGGAGTCCCCGCGCTGCCGCACCCTGCGTTTCCCGCAGCGGCTGGGGGCTTCGGACGTGCGGTCCGAGAGCCCGAGGCAAGAGTCCCCAGAGACCACCGTGGGCTTCATGGCTGGAGCGGAACCGGTGAGTTGAACCCGAGTCAGGCAGCTTAGGGCGCGAAGTTCCTAGTTAGTACCAGACAGCGGCACAGCCATGAGTAACAGCAGCACCCTCATGGACCTTTACGGGCACCTCCGTTCTCTCCTTCTGCCGGAGGGGGAAGGGGCGCCCGAGGCGAACCCCGATGGTGAACCCGACCCGGTTACGAGTACCTGGGCGCCGAGCCTGTCGGGCACCATCTCTGATGTGACCCCTACTCCATCGCCCACTTGGAACACAACCCCGGAACTTGTCCTGGGCTGCGGGGAACAGATCAACTATGGCAGAACTGAGAAAGTTGTGATCGGTGCCATCCTGGCACTCATCACGCTTCTGACGATCGCGGGCAACTGTCTGGTGGTAATCTCCGTGTGCTTCGTCAAGAAGCTTCGCCAGCCCTCCAACTACCTGATCGTGTCCCTTGCCCTGGCCGACCTCTCGGTGGCCGTGGCGGTGATGCCCTTTGTCAGTGTCACAGACCTCATCGGGGGCAAGTGGATATTTGGCCACTTCTTTTGCAACGTCTTCATCGCCATGGACGTTATGTGCTGCACGGCCTCAATTATGACCCTGTGCGTGATCAGCATCGACAGGTAAGCGCTGGGCCGCCCCGTCCTGGGGTCTGACAGTTGATGTGCTGTCAGCTAAGTCGCGTGCGCTCGCGTTTCCTGGGAGAATCAAGCCAGACCTCATCGTGGTATTAAGGGCTGAGCTTAAAATACAACCCCACACGTATACCAATCAAACAATTTCAGTGACAGCATACCCTATATACACTTTTAAAAGAAAAGTACGAAATATTCTAGTTTATAGTAGTGACGAAATTTAGACCAAAGTTAAGAGTATTTTAAACATTAGCAGCTCCACCAGGGGGTCCCTTGGCTTGATTTTCAGAAGGAAGGGATTTGATGCTCTCTGACTTGGCAAACCCATTCTGTGAGCAGTAGAGTCATTTCTTGCATTAAGGAATAAGTCCAAAAAGAAGCCACCCTGCTTCCTGATTGTGGGAGCTACTGTTTGGGCCAATGAAAGGACCTTGGCTGGTCCCAGAATGGGGTGTTACATATCTCAAACGCTACACTTTTAGGATTGCTAATTCTGAATCTCGTTCTTGTTAAAGTCTGTTTTCAGTGTGTGGCAACGTTGTTTTCCTGCAAGCTCACTGACTGGAATCTTACTCTGTATATGAAAGGTTTGTTCTAGGCTTTCATTATATTCCCGGAGTCATGAAACAGTGGCTGACCATCTGTTAAGGATGCTGGAGAAAAATTGCTGTTTTGGGTGTCATATTAGTCTAGGAGATGTCCAGAGTTTCTTCAGATTTCAAGATTAAGGATTTTGAAATGCAGCTAATCTTTAGCCCTAGAAATATTATGCAATTGACGGCTTGAAGTAAGATTTCCATGCTGTTCCATCACAGAACAACTCTGTTTTATTTGAAACTGAAATATTAAATCTTAGTATTCACACTCAGAATTCTGCTGGTGTTGTGTTTAATGATACAGAGAAATAAAACATTATTTATTTTCTTAGTGGTCCTATAGAACCTTTAAATATAGGAAACATAGGAAAAATAATTGATGCTTCCGCATTTAAAATGACAGTGCCTCAAAGGATGGTCTAGCATGTAACTGAGATTTTCTTTCTTTTCCTTCTTGAAAATACTCTGTGTTTTGTTTTTATTTGACATGTTCCATTTTGCTACTTGACCAGGCTTTTCAATTCGTAAATAAAGAGAATGATAAGAAAGGGGATATTGTTAAAAAAAAAGGAAAGAAAGAAAGAAAAAAAGGAACACATTGTAGTTGCGTTTAATGATTTAGTTTTTAAAAAAAAATGATTCTGTCATTTTATATATTGTGGCAGGAGCTTCTGACAGCAAACGAGGAATTATTTTAAGTGCGGAGCAGGAACTGTATATGTGAGAATACTGGCACCAAACTTGGCAGCCGAAGTTATGAATTACTGTAGTTAAGAATGACAAAAACATATGTATTTACAGTCTGGCTGTGGCAACAAAAATTAGAAGAGTATGTTTAATACACATAATAAATATATGTATGAATTAAAAGAGCAGAAATCCGACTATTCAGCCACCCAAAACAGTGGTTCTTCCATGAATGGAGCCCGGGTAAATGGGCTTTAGTGTAATAAAATAAATAACAATTATACTGCTAGTAATACATTTATAACCCTTTTTTTTCATTTCATAATTGATAAATGATAGATAAATAGTACATTGTGCTAACTTGTTTCCTAATACAGCCAGTGCTTCTGTTCCTGAGGACACGTTCGGGTTTGGCTGAGATCATACTGTGATTCCTGTACATGAGCTAAAGCCGTTCTTCACTCTTTGTGTGTGTGTGATTTAGCACCAACAGGAATGTCATGAATACAGAGAAGAGGTTAATTCTTCTTGGCAAGAATTTCTAATTTCTTCATTATGATAGTTGCAAATTATGATAATATAGGCATAGAGAATCTCTTTTTTTTTTTTCCTATGAGTTGCCCTATTGGTGAATTTTGCTTAAAACTAATTTTAGAAGATTAGGGTATCATTTCTTTAGATAAAATGAAGAATTGATAAAAGTGGAAGAAACAAATTGATTTTCTCCTAATAACACACAATAATAAACATGAGAAAAAGGAAAATGCATTTGACATCTAGGCTGAATTATTTCTGAAAAGAATGTTTTCTTCAGTTCTTATGTGTGGCAGATGATATAAAATGTGCTATGAAAATATGAAAAAATTATCTTTATTCATTCCCTCTTGAGTACCTAATATAGGTTGTACTATACTTTGTGCAGTACAGAGATGAATAACAATATCCTTGCTTTTTAACTATAATTATATTGTGAGAATTTGGATACCTGTTGGGCATTTAACCTGGCTGAAGTGAAACCTCTGATTTTTCTTTGGGTGTCTAATTAGACTAGGAGAAATGTTTCTCAGGCTTTTGGCTAAGATCACATGTCAACAAGGAGATATGTGGGATGCCTTCCCAGGATTTTCTTCCAAATGCTCACCACACCCCCCTTTTCAAATAATGATTCCTGTTCTTTGAAGAAGTAGCAGCCATGAGAAGGGAACTTTCTTATTTTCCCACCACTAATAAACAGTCTTCCCTGCATCTGTTCTCTTCTTTTTGTTTCTTTGCAGTTAAAAGGCAAGAAGACATTGTGTCCTAGCAAAAAACAAACCACCTGAATTTTACAATGCATCCCCTGTCCCTCTCAAAGACTTTGTTCCTGTATTGATTAGTTCATTCCTGTCTTACCTTCTCATTTCTACTAGGTCAACTCAGGCTTCTGTCTTTAAGATTTGGTTTTACCTGTTCCTCCAATTACTGCGCAGCTTCACAGTTGAAGCTTCTCAAAGAATTGTGCCTATGACATATCTTTCCTTGCTTATTCTTTAGATAGATGAGTTTGATGTTTACCACATTTATTGCAGTATTTGAAGTATTTTCCTAGTTCCACTTCTGTCCATCCCCCATCTGTTTCCTTTTAGAAGGTAGAATGTTCTATTTTTTTGAAATTTTAAGTGATATAAAGTTTAGATATAACCGAACGGACAGATCTTAATTGTCCAATTCAATCCACAAAATTAATACTGCTTATCAAGTATAGTCACCCTAGAAAGTTTTCTTGTGCTCCTCCTGGAATCATCTTTTAAAAGTAGAAACCAAATTGCCTTTTATATGTAGTTTTAAAACATGCAAAAACAGTTTTATATATTTTTCAGGGAAGCTTGGATAAGGAGTAAAAGTATAAAATAATGTGGAGTTTGATGGACATCACATTTAGGAATGTGGTTATTGCTGGTGGGGTGGGTGAAAATGTAATCAATCATATAATTACAGTCATGTAAATTGTATTGGTAATCTTTTAAATCTTGATACTAGATATGGTTTTATTCTTGGTATAGTTTTTGTATGTCTGAAATATAATTTTCAACTTTATTTTGAAATATATATATAGAAAAATGTACAATCTTTTTTTCTTTTTTCTCTGACTCTATGCTTTTATTATTTTTAATTTTTAATATATTTTTATTTGTTTGTTTTAATTAGTTACACATGACAGTACAATGATCTTGTCATAGCATACATTTGAATCAGATGGGATATAATTTCTCATTTGAAAAATGTACAATCTTAAGTGTGGGTGCTTGATGAATTTCCACAACGTGAACACATCCTTGTGAGCACATCTGTCAATGAAAAAGAACATTGCCAACCTTCCACAGGTCCCCTCTCCATTTTTAATTTCTGATGTCCCCAGATATAACTATTGTCCTGACTTTTAGCAACATAATAAAGTTTTACTTGCCAAAACTTAATATAAGTGGAATTATATAATATGTACTTTTTTGAATTTGGCTTCATTTGCTCAATATAATGTTTGTGAGACTCATCCACAGTTTTTAGCCTGTCAGTGGTTCATTCATTTTACAGCTGAATAGTATTCTGTTGTATGAATATGCTATAATTTGTTTATCAGCTCACCTCTAGATAGAAATTTGAGTTTCTAGTTTTTGATTATTACTTATAATGCTGCTCTAAACATGTTTTTTTTTGGTACAAGTAATTCTGTAGACATGCTGTAATTTCTTTTAGGTAAATATAAAGCTGAGTAATAAGGTACTGTTGAGGATTTTAATTCTGTCTACCTCTTCATACCTTTTGCATTATCATTTTCCTGAAATTTAAGTCTATAGATTAAAAAATATAAATTATTTTATTTTTGATTAAAGCAATGATTAATTAATATTTACAACATGTGTACTTTTCTAACTTCTTTGAATTTTCTACGTTACCACGCTTTCATCTGCGATCATTTTCTTCTGTCCAGTTAGACTTCCATTAGCATTTTTTTTAGTGACAGTTTGCTGGTGACAAATTTTCTCAATTTTTGCTTTTCTGAAAATGCCTTAAAAATTTAGAATACTTGGGAATCAATCTAACAAAAGAGGCGAATGACCTCTACAAAGTAAACTGCAGATCGCTAAAGAAATGAGAAATTATACCCCATTTGACTCAAATGTATGTATGTCAAGATCATTGTATTGTCATGAGCAACTAATAAAAAAAAAGAAAATTATAATCATCATAGCAACCATTAACAATGAAATAATGTGTCATCAAAATGCTGGGAAAGAATCTGAGTGATATAGTTATTTGTTAAGAGTATTGATAGGCCCAGTAGTGCTAATGGTCCAATATAAAAAATAACTCAAATGTTCTTGAAGCGCACACCCTGACTGACTCACATAGATTCTGTATAATTCAGCAGCTGTATTTACAATTATAATGCATGATGTCAGGCAAAATAAAATTATAATTAAATATCCATTGCAGTAACATGCTTCTGTGAACAGAAAGTTGAATGTAAAAGAAAATAGATTTTTTGAGATGCTTTAAAATATTCTGTGCTTAAAAGCAGTCAAGATTTTTATCATTCTATTTATCAAAACTGTATAATTAATATCTGTGACATTCAAGGCATATGACCTCACCAAAAAATTAATGAGGAGCAGGACTGTTATGTTGAGGAATGAGTAGAAGTATAGAAAAAATAAAAATTGCATG